CCATAACAGCAAAATTAATATCGGATATCGGTATCGGCCAAAATGTTCATATCGGTGCATCCCTAATTTCCAAGTATTTCAATGAGTGTCCTATAAAGGGTTAAGACACTTCACAGACCGAGAAGCTCTGTCCAATATATATACTAAAATAATGGCCCATAATCAGGAATTAATGCACAGTTCTGGCCTCCATGTCATCCATTAATTCCTGATAATGGACACTTTGTCGGGCATTATCTCTTACTTAAGGTGTGTCCCCAAAATTCTGATGTGATGATTTTCAACTTTTGTTGAAAACACTCACTACTCATTACATACAGGTTATAGAAAAACTATTTTTCATGGACAACTTTGTGATTAATAGGCACTGACGGTCAGTGTCCACAGCAGGAGGGAGGTCACGTTCAACGCACTGGCTGACAGAAGCGGGCGCTGCAGCTGCACCTCCCCACAGGTGAACGACGGTCAGTCAGTTAACGAAACTTTGGACGAAGATTTAAAAAAATAATCAAAATATCACACTCGAATCAGTGCTTAAACACACTATTTATTGTTGGAAATAACTATAATATGTACTCATGCCATGGTGTTGGAGCGACATTCATATGGACTAGCTAATGTAGACTTGACGGTAAAGCTACCACATGCGTAAGAAACGCTAAACTTTGGAGCCCTTGTAAAGTCACTGGATTATATTATTCACTTATATTTGTATTTGACACGGTTACGTCTAGGGTTCAGATAATTATACTAATTTTACGACCTGCTAACACACCTGCATGTTATCCATACATTTGCTAGCTAACTGGCTTGCTAGCTCGCAGACGGACTTCTTTTAGCTAATAACGCTAAAGATAACTTTATCCTAAAACACGGTATAACGGAGCGTTCAACTGTTAGAAACGGGGTGTAAATATCCTACCAGGCAGAGTGAATGCCTCTCCACATAACTTGCAAATCACAGCGCTGGGGTTGTCGCCTCTGTCCATGATTAATGTCCTTATGAAAAGGTTTTTTTCATCTCAAACGAGAAGGCGCAGTCGGTTGTCTTTGTCACGTGACCCCGTAGGTGCGTTCACTGTCCAAGGAGTTATTCTTGAATAGTAATGATTACTAGCAGTAAAGATGTTTTCATGTCCAGTGCATCGCTTTTACGTTGCATTTCTGGTTTTACTGCCTCAGTCATGTACTCTACTTTGATGTGTTTTACTGCCTTATTGCATCAGGTAATATTTGCCCTGTAGATAATATTGTAGTTTCATTGAAATGCTGGTGATGTGTTCATGAGCGTGCAGTCTGGCCACAAAACTGTCATCTCAACAGTGATTTTTGCCACTAAGGCTAAGGCCTGATGTGTTGACATTATTTAAAGCAAGATCTGGACACAAAAGACCAGGGATTTTTCAACCAGGGAGCTTCTGCAGTTGCCATGTTAAGATTGTGGAGTTGCTTGAAAAAAAGATTATGATTTGTTAGCGGAAAAAGTGATTTAGAGTGTATGAAAATTAGCAACTGTACAAAGCCAGCAGAAAAGGATATTTAAAAGAAATTGATAAAGTAAACCTCCAACTGCCACTGGTAGTGGCAGGAGATGGAGTGGTTGTAGAACAAATGCAAATGTCACAAAAAGCAACTGATACATTTCACAATTACTATAGGCTTGTGTGAAAAAGTAGTAACAACATCCATCTTTCATATAATCACTAGTGGTAATCCAGTTTAAAATCCACTGGAGCATGACTGGTGGTGTCCATGAAGGGTTACTCGAGCTCATCCCATGGGGCTGTGAGGGGTTAACAGACAATATAATTACCTAGTGTATATTTTAATATCTTGTTAAGTATCCACCAACTTTCAGAGCAGTCAGTAAGCTCGGCCTGCAAGAACCAGTACTCCTAATGAATAAAATGAGAAACAGTTTCTATGTGTTTATTGCAGAATATTGAACGCCCTATATGTAGGACGTTCAAATTCACTTTAGTATATATAGGTTTGTACAAGCTTCAGTGTTGCTGTAAATTTTACATAAATAATGTGTGGGACAACCCGCCAAACAGAATAAAAAAAACAATAATATATTTTTGTCTAATGATATCTAAACTGTGGCTAAGACATAATCTGTTAAACAGATTTCATACAGTGGAAGTATGGAGGTCTTCTCCAACACGGCATCTATACCATATCAAATACAAATTCTAAGCATCCATCACAAATTTATTTCAACAGCAAGTTACAAAGTTTAAAAAAACGGTTCATAATTTTATTTGTCCTAATTATACAGTGCTTTCTGTGGACACCTGAGGGCGCCAAATACTAAGGCAGACACACAGGTGGGCTGTGAGATAATGGGTTTACAAAGGCCAGTGGAAAAATAATATATAGCCTAGCCTAGAGCTTTTCAAAGGTGCAAATAGTCACTTTTATATTCTTTTTGATAGATATTATGAGAGACCGTGTGAAAATGGTAAATATGCATCTCTGGCATCACATTTCACCCTACTGAACATCTCCACTTGTTGGAAATACCCAGTTTGATATCCCATTGTCTTTGGATCTCTGGGTTAAGACTTGCAGGTGATGGTGTATGGATATTTTGCAGGATGTTTACATATGCAAGGAAAGCTCATTTAGGAACAATGTGTCTGATGTGGCTAAAAATTGTTGCTCTAGTCTGAAACAGTATGAGCTTGCATCATTTTAACTTGTTTTTACTTCTTATATATTATTTTATTGTTTTACAGTTTTATTATCTTTAATCCATTTGTCTCTTCTTTATCACAGTATACATTCCTTGTGTATGTTGTCCTGTGTGATATATTCTTTTGTGTCCTTTTGAACCAATTGTAAGACTCCACAGCAGACCTAACGGCAGCATGTCGGTCCTCTCTTCCATCTGAGCGCAGCTGCCAGCAGCACTGCCGCCTGAGGACAATGGCCAGCCACCCAGCGAAGCAGCAGTAACTGGGAGTGACAGCTAATGGAGAGCAGAGAGGCACAGACATCAGATGGTAAAGGTAAATCATCTAGTATGCAACACGGGCCAAAACCTTAACCTTCAGAGAGTGTTCATCCAGATCCCCTGGAGGGGGGTAAATGAAAGCGTAGCACATCAAGGGGGTCTCTCCATTTAGAGATGGCAGGATGCAGCCCCAAAGAACAACTTGAAATACATGTGTTTTAACAGTACAACTCCCACCTTTGCATAAGTGTCAAATGAATACAGCTCCTAGTGTTGATCTGAAGTGAAAGTAGACCAACTTGGTGTGGGGTGTTAAAAGGCCTGCAGGTATAAAGTACACCTGTCTGCTAATAGGAGGCAGGAAAATATCCAAGATCAGTTAACACACTGGCCTGAGGATCTTTTTTTTAGACAACACAGACAATGACTAATGTCATTTATATAGGTATAGTGTAAAAACACATAAACATACAATATAAAAGAACATACCTTCGGTTAATATTCTGTATTTACATACAGTACATGTGTTTAATGTATAGAAATCCAAACATAAGACTCATGACATTGCTAAGTTAAGTTTACATCCAAGTCTACATCTTAATTAATTGGTTACTTTGTGTAATTGGGTATTTGAAGGGCTCTCAGTTGCAGTCTCTCAGTTGTTAAGTAGTGTATTTTGAGGATGGAATTTGCAGTAAAAGTAGTAAACTAATGATATTATTGGACAATTATTGAATTATTTAATTAATCAATCTGTAAAATTTGGTTGAAATAGATACCTTGTCCATAGAAATATGTTTTTTTCCGATTTTGTAAACTTTATGTCAAACAAAAGAATATTTTCTCCATCCTGCACTCTGAATTCCAGCAGATGGAGAGAGAGTGGAGTAATGTATGATCCGGGCACTGAAGGAATCTGGCCATTGGTCTTCACCAGGGCAGGATGATCATTGGAGGGGGGCAGGGCATGTATGTGTTTGTGTGTACCAGGGTGGGGGGTAGTGGACGTGTTTACTACGGGTAATGAACCAATCATCGGGCCGCCCAGGGGGGGATGTGGGGGTGCCTGTTAGGGGATTGGGGGTTGCCCCCCATCTTTCCTCTTCCCAAATGTGGGTCACTTCCCATCCTCGGGTGATTTCCCTTGTGTTTCTGTAGGAACAATAACCTTCCTGCAACCCCCCAAAACCCTTATCAAATCACTTACTCATTAATGATGCCCTTAATTAAGCTGCGTGGTCTCGTTAGCTCTCTACTAATGTCTCGCATAGGCCTTGTACAACCATCCGTCCGCTTCATTGTTATCATCCAGCTATTTCCTGAATCACTTTTATTGTGGGTCATCTCTTGTGACAGGAGATGATGTCTGTAGGAAGCCGTCTATTTGCATGTACCTCAACGGTCTTATTAAAAAAACAACCCCCCTCCAATCCCTCTGATTCCCCCCTACAGACTAGGAGTATAGGAGGATTTATTGATTGTGAGAAACCCTCACAATGCAGTCAGATCAAACATATATGGTCCATGGACCATTTGAAAGGAGTTTGTAAACCTTGATTCTACTACAGAAAACATCTTACTTATAGATTGTTTCCCCAAGTAAGCAATATGGATTTTTTTTTCCGTTGAACCATTTTTTTTTTCTCTTTCTTTGAATCTGAAGAAGCCCCACAAACCCATTAGCTTTGTGAGTAAGATGTGGTAACAACATCTTCCCTCTTTTCAGGTTGGGTCCTGACCGTCCGAAGAAAAACAAAAAACGAGGAAAGGTCAGCAGACATGCAACGAGATGCCAGGAGACTCATGGACTGGCTTTAAGTGGTTGTCCCCCACCCCTCGTCTGGCCCCCCACCCTCCCTCCTGCGGGCCACTTGGTCACAGCATGAAGAGCGCAGGGGCGATGGCAAATGACAGTCGCTTTATACCTTCCCTAATCTCTTTGTCTGGTCAAAGAAAGACCTGCCATCACACAAAGAAAAATCATGCTTCAAGAGTGAGAGAATTGCTTCCAATCCAAAAAACAGTGTAACAGCTGGCTGAAAGGCAAGTCAATCTAATTCAGTAATTTGATACACATTGTGGCACACACG